AGAACCCTCCGCCCCCCACCGAAAAACACCCTTGTGTTCATCATCATCGCCCGGCCGAGAACCCTCCGCCCCCCACCGAAAAACACCCTTGTGTTCATCATCATCGCCATCACTCCCGTCGGTCGGCCGAGAACCCTCCGCCCCCCACCGAAAAACACCCTTGTGTTCATCATCATCGCCATCACTCCCGTCGTCGAGCTGCTGATCTCGCCGTCGAGCCCCTTCCTCTCCGCGAGATTGATCTGACGCCGCTCTTTGCAGCAGGTAATATCTCAACCCCTCTCTCTCGATCTTTGATTTAGATCCGAGCTCTTTTTGCCCCAAAAGTTAGGGATCTAATTAGAACCTGTGATGAGCCTGAATTTTCCTTTTTTTTTGAAGGTTAATCATTGTAAATGTGTTATCTTTTTGCCCCTTCCTTTTTTTGATTTAGATCTCGCCTTATAGCCTTTATCCTGTTGCCTTATTTGAGGAGGGACTTTCTTACAGACTAGAGTGTCGTTTCTTATGCTATTGAGTAGGTTTTGTTAAGTTGCTGTGTAAAGTTATGTTGTTGTTCAAAAATTTAATGTATACGTTAGATAGTTTCATGTTTTGTATGGAATTTTTTTTCGATGAACTCATATAATTTCATCGTGGATTTTATATTATGGTAGTTCTCTTGAGATAATGGCTCAAACTGCAGCATTGTTGCGATTTTATATGGTCTTTTGAGAATGATTTTGAGTATTTCGTGGTAATATGTGGGATGTTGACTCAATTTTAACTTATTGAAATTGGTATTTCCTAGAGGTTATTTCTTGATGAATCCATGCTCTATTATTTTACCTTTGACGTTTCAGTTTGAAGAGAGTAAATATCAACGATTAAGTTTTTCTTCCTTGCATTTGTTTTACAGCAAATAAAGTTTTTGGTCGTTATTTGTCATGATATTTGCAGCTAAACATATGCACGGGTGCTGGATTATGAGGTTTGTTCACTGGGCTACCCCAGTCCATGTACGTATATCTGTTGTTTAATGTGTTTCCTTGCTAATTTATTTCCAAAGGATGCAACTTATACTGAAGAAGTCACTTGATCAAAAATATTCTCCTCTGTCTCTTTCCAGCAGATGATTGGCCATGGATTTTCGTACTCTCACTTGGTCTCCTCCAAGCTGCTTATTACTATCGCATGAAGTGGTGTGTTCTTAAATCGCGGAAGCTAGGTACAGGCTGACGATGAATGAAGTTGTAAATGCACTCAAACAGCTCCAAGAGACGAAGGATACTGTTAGAAACCCTCGTATACATCAGAAAGTGAACGGTCAGGGGGGTCGACGTAAAAGTGTGGGCGAAGTTGGTAATAGGAGAGTGTCATAACCTAGACCCTCAGCATCGCCTTTGTATGCTTAGTAGAACTTGGAGAGCTGTATGTGTTGTATTTGTTATGCTTATATGCCTTTGAGTTTAGTGTACAGTTCAAGTCTTGTTTGTTCTTTCTGATTGTGTATCTGACACAGACTTTCCTCAGTACAAGTGCTGGAGTATTTAAGATTGATAGTTTTGAGGAAATGAGGCATGTATTTTGCTTAGTGTTTGAAAGTGAAGGAGGCAATATTTTTTTTTAAAGGAGTGTTTAGTGATAGTGTTGTCTTATGCTGAGTGTAATTTTGCTATTATATATGATGTTTTCATAGCAGTATAATCTTTTGGGTGGTGTTTGGCAAAAGATTAGTGGGGGGATTAAAAGGGTTGAAGGGGTTAACCCTTCACTAACCTACTGAACACTAATTTTTGGTAGGTTATGTTGAAAGGATGGAATAACGAGTCCTGATGGTGTACATTGCACATGAAATAGACCTTCATCTCAAAATTCTCTTGTGTTTTCTATGTGCTATTTGTTGGCTTCAACTGGCAGTTGACGATGAAGACATTGTGAGCTTGTGTGTGTGCTTGTATGTGCTATTTGCTATCTGCATGCGTTAATAAATACAAAAAAGGAGCCTGAGAGTACAGCAATCACAGGCATCAAAATCAACCTAAAATCCAAAAAAAAAGTTAGAGATATACGTTCAATGATGGGCAAATCTTAGCCTTGCAATCTGGACACATATAACCCAGAGATTCTGAATGTGGTTCAGGTTCAATACCTTCAAGGCTGAAGTCTCACATGGATCATAATTCAAGCATAGATGTTGACCTCTCACATGGATCATAATTCAAGCATAGATGTTGACCTCTCACATGGATCATAATTCAAACATGGTCATTACTCAAACACTGATAACATCAACTTTGTTTCTGCCTATAAATTGAGCACTATAGACAGAATCTGAGAAAACATGACTTACTCATTCACCACATCTGCTAAAGATAACCATATAACTAATTAATTTAACCATATAACTAATGAATTTCATAAACATGTTTACAAATATGCGACACATTCATTATAGGCGACACATTCATCATATCTTCATCATTCTTCTCTGTTTCCTCTTATTCTCCCAAGATTGCTCTTCTTCTTCGCTACAACTTGGCCTAGCTGCAAATTTCATATCAAATATATCGTCAAAACATTATGAAAATATAGCACTAGCACATTCTTTATGATGATAATCATGTTTTATCCCTGCTAGACAAATATCACACAATTGAGTCTAACAATAATATGCTCTTATGGTAGATACATTCGATCTCACTTTCTGAGCTAATTTGTTCATTGGAGGGAATTCTGAAATGTGCAATTATTCTAGTCTGAACTCTGAAATGAGCTCCAACTCAAATTTTTTACTTCAACGAAATATTATTATGGATTACCAAAATACATGCAACTCTATGTGCTGTGAACTCAAATTTTTTACTTCAACGAAATATTATTATGGATTACCAAAATACATGCAACTCTATGTGCTGTGAATAGAGGGGATAAGAAAAGGAGATAATGTATTATGGATTACCAAAATACATGCAACTCTATGTGCTGTGAATAGAGGGGATAAGAAAAGGAGATAATGAACAAGCTTCGTCTCTGAAAAATTCTGACAGAGTACATCAATCATAGACGCTCAAGTATGAGAGGCTATCAAGAACCTTCATCCATACTTTATCAACAACCAGTTGCACTCATAATGCACTCATAATTCCATACAAAACATGAAACTATCTAACGTATACATTAAATGTTTGAACAACAACATAACTTTACACAGTAACTTAACAAAACCTACTCAATAGCATAAGAAACGACACTCTAGTCTGTAAGAAAGTCCCTCCTCAAACAAGGCAACAGGATAAAGGCTATAAGGTGAGATCTAAATCAAAAAAAAAGGAAGGGGCAAAAAGATAACACATTTACAATGATTAACCTTAAAAAAAAAAGGAAAATTCAGGCTCATCACAGGTTCTAATTAGATCCCTAACTTTTGGGGCAAAAAGAGCTCGGATCTAAATCAAAGATCGAGAGAGAGGGGTTGAGATATTACCTGCTACAAAGAGCGGCGTCAGATCAATCTTGCGGAGAGGAAGAGGCTCGACGGCGAGATCAGCAGCTCGACGACGGGAGTGATGGCGATGAGGATGAACACAAGGGTGTTTTTCGGTGGGGGGCGGAGGGTTCTCGGCCG